TTTTTGTGTATGTTTTCACTATAAATCACTTATTGCGATTTGGTAATGTATTTCAGATCAACTATGTGTATATTTAGTCTGTTTATGTTTGGTTGCGTGACCTTAGAAATTAATATAGTTTACCATTAATATTCTGCAGAACCATTCACACAGAGCTCCATAGCAACTGTGAACTGCACACTTCTTTCCTGTGATACAGAAATGTCTAGAATGTACTGGTATAGAACGAACCCCTGCATCCCGTGGCCTAGTATCACTACGTTCCCGCCGTGCTGGCCCCATGCGCTTGTCGGCGGAAAACAGCTATTTATTTTAAGCTTGTAATTAGTTTATTTTAGAATTAATAGGGAAAGCAATACTGCTAAGTAGAAAAATGTCAATGCCTCCTGAAACTAGTTAATTCTAAGATTACCTGTAATTTTGGATTCACTGCGGGCGAGCACTTGCTTCTTCTGAACTGTATCCCTCGTAGCATTGTTATGGTTCCGGGCTGTTCGAAAAATAAAAGGGCCAGGAATCGGACGTTAGTTTCCGGGAGGTATAAAGGTTTTTTACCCTGGTCGTAAAGAAACTAACAAGGCCAAACAGTACCATGGGGTGCCTTTGGAAATATCTTAAGTTCCTGTTTATGGCAAAGGAAAGTCATCCTAACAGAAACTAAGCACAATTTTAACGTGATCACTAAGATTGGGCCTATGCGCAATTTTGATCAGTTTTCTCTGCGAGCAGTCCATTTAGATGATAAACCCACATGCGTGTTTAGCCACATTGTAATTCAGGATTGCCTTCTAACCGTAAACTGCTCATTTCAACTTACAGTGAAAAGTGACGTGTTTATACAACACAAGGGTTTTATCGCCATCTCGGCACAAACAGCCACCTGCGGGCTTTAACTGCTGGTGTACAGATAACGCTGCGTAAGTGTTTTACTGTTTGTCTTACAATAATTCTACATGGACCACGGAAATAACAGTACAGCAGGAGTTCCAATTTGATGGAAGAACTTTATTGGGTTCGTAATGATTCGATGAACACTAAAATTCATTTGGTATTCTACGTTCTTTTTTCTAGTAAGGTTGGACGATAATAAGTGACTTTGGCACGGAAAAGGACATTGGAATACGATTCGTTTGGTTGCAACTGGGTTATTGTACCTTTATTTGCCAACACGAAATAAATTGCTCGGTCGAGTGAAGTTCAGGTTCCCAAGAAATGGCATATGGCTAGTAGGTAAGTCAACCAGGGAAATCGGTTCCAGATAAACGAACTGTTAACTCTTTTTTTGGTTTTTAATCAGGTAAAAAAATGAAGTCAAGACCTGCATAATAACGCCTTAATAACCCAATCAGGTGGTTTGAAAGCGGGCGAACTTATTAATAACAATAGTAGGATGGTCAGTAGTTTCCGAGGCGTAAGGTTAGATCACAGCTTAAACAGTTAAGAACAATACCGTGACTGTGATATTCCAGGGTGCTGCGTGAAGGCATGTGCACTCATTTGACCTCTGCTGTACAAGAATCTGGGTTCCGAAACCAAGATTCATTTCCTGAGAACTCAGGCTCGCAGCACTGATGACATTGGAGTAAGGACTACTACTGTGTAAAGTCTGTGCTCGAAACAAGTTTCGTTTATTCACATTACTGACAGAAGTTCTTAGTGATTTAGAAACATGCATAGAATTTCGGCTGATATGCCTGAATATTAACAATATCTAATAGGAACTGCCCTTTTACAGTGACAACTAATATACAACGAAAACGTGACATTATTGGACTACTGGTGACGACTTGGACATTAAAAGGATTTAACTTCCCATTTTTAAAAGAAAAATAGTCTTTCAAGCTAAACATCTGGAATACAGCATTTTCCTCACACTTAATGTAAATGTGGGGAAGAAAAGTGGGATACACTACGAATACATAATTTTTTGAAGATTGAAGAAAAACTAGACAAGCAAAGGGAATATAATCGAGAGCAAGAACCGAAAGTCACCATTCACATATCATGGCCGTCCATTGCTCGAGCTCTGTGGCAACGCCTCCAAGGAAGCCGTCTTTCCTGATCCAAGACATCTTGTCGACGAGTCCACAGAGACCCCCAAGGACTAGTACTCGTGCCCAGGCACCGCCGCCAATCTTGAACCCTCCTCCGCCGGTCAAACCACTAGAAGCTCCTTTCTTTCATCCCTCGTACTGCGGGCCGCCCCTTGGTCTGGTTCTGGCGTCCGCCGCACCCAGCTGTGCCTCTTTCTGTTATTCACCAGGTAACAATATTGTCATGTTACATTTACCGTTCATTAGCATGTGATATTTATTCTTCTTTCTATTTAAATTCGAGTTATCTTATTTATTTTATTTCATTAAATTTTATTTCACCTTATTTAATTTTATTTCACCTTATTTAATTTTATTTTATGCAATTTTAGAAAATCAGCTTATTTTATTTTACGAGTGAATAATATTGGTTATATTGTAATTGTAAGCCGATTGCATTATTTTTATTGAAATTTGTTAGATAATAATTTTTCTCTTTGCATAAGTAAATTCTAAATCCAGTTAAACAAAATATATTCTCTCAAAATTATTGCCGAAGTTCTCTAGATGATTCAGAAGATCGAAATCCATTTAATGTAGGCCAATGTAGCTATAAAAATTACTTGAATAAATCATACAGCGTATTATTGGTTTGAGCGACGAAGTCATTCTTGCAACAAAAAGAAATGTATGATGTTTCTGTCAGTTCTTCGCGTGAGGCAATTTGTACAGTATTAACATTATCGATAATCATAATGTGTTTGATATATAATTCACAACAAAAAAAGTTGTTTATTTGAACATAAATTGTCGAAAAATGAAAAAAGAATTAATGAGAATAATGAGTTATCCCAAACTGATAAATATAATCATACCACCAATCTGTGAAATTGTAAACTATTGTAGAATCCAGTAAATACATTGTAGTCGAACATTTTATTTTTGCTCGTGCTTATTTACAATATATTTACCTTCTTGTAAAAATAAATAAATAAATAAATAAATAAATAAATAAATAAATAAATAACGAAACTATAATGTATTTTCTAACATATTTGAAAAAGTAAAGCAATGATTTTTGTTTTATTATGTCTCTGAAAATGCCAGAGTCCAAACTGTATACAACATATTTCCAACAGCCCAGCAATCCCCCTAAATGTATTGAAAGAAAATACAGTTAGTTGGCAATAGGCGTTTATTTCTGCAGCGTCCTATCCTGCGAGGTTTCACCCACAAACCTGAAGCATATGTTCTTCTGTGGAAGTAGTTAGCGGCCCGCGGTGATAACGATTTTATTTTTTATCACACGCCTTGTTTGGATTATTTTTTTCTTTCTGGCAATTGTTTTGATTTAAATGTTTTTTATCCTAGAATGTGTTTATATTGTGATTAAGTTGAGATGTTTAGAAACCTATTACATCAGAGTAAGTATCGTTGCACTACAAAGTAAAACAATTTAGGGATGCCGCAAAATAGGGAATTATTTAGGAGAGAAAATGGACATGCAGATCAAATAATGAGCCATCTCATTTTGACAAAAACACTGGCGAAGAACATGCGCTAGCGTTCTTGACTTCCAGCAGAATATTTGTGTTGGTTTGAAATTAAGATTTTTAATTCTTATTTTGTACTTTTAACTAGGTGATGATATAATGCATATAAGGGTTGTTTCTTTGATGATACTATGTCAGAAAATAGCACCATGTGAACCCGGGGTGCGTCTTTCAAAATTATAACTACGAACACATTATTTAAAAACAAACGCTCGTAGCCGTTGCATTTCATTAGCAGTAAAACGCCCGCCAGACTGTTAACGTACTGGAACTAAGTGTTTACATAGCATCGCAACGAATGTATTTATTTGACCTAACAAGACGTCGGGCTTGTACTCGAAGACCATGACAACAGGTCCATACATGTGCTGGACATTAAGAGTGCACTTACTAATAGTGTTGGTGATATACTCATTATAATTTTCTGCAGTTACAATCACGAAGGGAACCATTGAATATACAGCAATAATATTATATATAAACTGTTCTAAATAATAAAAAAAACAATTATTTGCCAGTGAGGACATAGTCTAATATATAAACAAATAAATACCGTTCAAAATTATTGTGTTTGGTTTGAATTGTTGACTACATGATGTTTTTATTGAACTACTCTAGTGAATATTGTCCTTTAAATTGATGTCGAAAAACGCGAAGAAAAATATTTCACTTGCATAACCTCGAGTTACATGTAGGTAACAGTTTTCAAGATAGGCATCACTTTAGTTTACCGAGGGACAACAAAAAGAATGGCAAATTAGATTTAAAATAATAGGGTGTCAATTTAAAATCTGCTGTGAAATTCTATTCCATTTTTTTTATTATTTTTTTCATTATAATTTTGCAGGCTGTGGGCCCCTTCTAGGCCACGTCCCGCAGACTTTGGCTTTCCCAGGCAGCGACTCCTTAGCAGTGCCCATCCCGCTACCCGTGTATGTCCGCACCAAGTCCCCGTCCACGACCGACCACTTGGGGAGGCCCAAGAAATGTCGCCGAAGCAGAACTGTCTTCACGGAACTACAAGTAATGGCGTCTGTTTTTTTCAAATATCTATCATTTATAGGCCATTTCTGAATATATAAAATAATAATTATATGTACATGACGATAAGGATGTGAATTTCATTAATTAAACTATGTTCAATAGATCCAAAATAGTTTCACTGCACAGGTACATTTGTATCAGATATAAAATTTCCGAATGAATCGCATATATTTCTTATTTCCAGTTAATGGGTCTAGAGAAGAAATTTGAGACTCAGAAATATTTGTCCACACCAGATCGCCTGGACCTTGCCGACACGTTGGGTTTGAGCCAGATACAGGTGAAAACATGGTACCAGAACAGGCGCATGAAATGGAAAAAACAGGTGATATATTATGAAAGTGGCGAATTGAAAAGCATACATACATGTATACACGGCACATTTCAGAGCGTTTATACCAGGAAAAAACCTGGAATGGTATTCTTCTGCGGGTGGATTGTGCGTCTTATAGCACACTTTTGAACTTCTCCTGTGAAAACCAACGATATTAAAGCAGGCACCAAAGGGCCGAATAATACTTTTTTATTTCAATATGTAGAAACTGCCTGTCTATTCATAAGTTTAAAGGGATAATAACTCTTCGTATTAGATCTATATTTCACAATAAAAACCTTGTGAATAACTCATAGAAATATAATATATTCTGTTTTACCACAAAAACAGCAGTTATAGCTTTTATTTTGATATCTGAACTTGTCTTTAGACCACGTGACCTCCATTGATGTCTATACTCTGTTAAAATCTCTTAAGAGATTTTAACAAAAAACCAAACTTTTTAGAAAAAAAACAGGGACTAACTTTGAATGTAAAAATGGATTCATTAACCATTGGTAAGTATGGGAAAATTATTGTTTACTCCAGGAAAATTCATTTTTTGGCCGAAACGAAGAGTTATTATTGCTTTAACATAATTTCGCTTGGTTCAAATGATAGAAAAATCTATTTGCACTTATTGCTAGTATTATGGTGCAAATTGCATAGTGTAAAGGAAAATATATATTAAAAATTGTTATTGCTAAAATTTTGGATATTTTCCAAATGTTTTGCATGCCCATTCTACAAAACGGTGGCACAAATCCAATTACGAAGCTATAAAATATACATTCAACAATAGAAAATATACATTCAACAAACTATATATTACTTTTAAATGTTGATGCATGATAAATGTACATGTAATGGTATGCTGTTAACAGACGTGTCTCTAATATCATTATGTAATTATTTGAAGGTTTTGCAAGGCGGAGGCTCGGAACCGCCCACCAAACCGAAGGGACGCCCAAAGAAAAATGTCCCACTGGATGCACCCCACCATGAGGATAAAAGCGACGAAGAAGGAGATATTTATCTAAATGGCATTGCAAAGATGGACCTTTCTGTTCATTCTTCTGACTCCGAGATGAATGATAGATATAGTGAACACTGTGAATAATTATTGTTATTTTTTATTCTATTATCCACCGTGGATTAAAAACTTGTTTTTCAACTTAAACGCAAATCAGCTATTACGTCATATTGTAGCGTGTATACAGCAAACTGCTCAATAAAAAGCGTTGGATACTAAAGTTTACTGAATTCTGATTTATGAAATATTGCACGAAAAAAATTTACTGAGAAATTACATTTTCCCCTAAAAAAGTAAGATTGGTGATTGATTAATGTTTAAAGGCCAATTGTGTCAAAGTTTCATCCTCAAACAGGATCATGCACGGGAAACATAATAATAATTATAGCAATGATAATTTTTATTCATTTTAGCACTTTTTGCAAGTGCTTTTACCTTACAGTTGTACAATACAATGTTTATTAACAATATTGCGTGATAGTGGCAAAAATCATCGCTCATTTCATTTTTTTAAATTTCCTTTTGGGCTGAAAGGAAACTAAAGCCAGTCTTCTCTTTTTAATTTAGTGCATGTTTAATTTATATATTGTATTTGACGTATTACGGTTAACACGGCTACCTTTAGAGGAAACCCCACGGGATAAACATGTAGCATAAGACTTGAATAATGTAGAGAGTCGTTGGTATTGTAACTTATCAATATAGCATCACCATTGTATTAAAGCCCATCTACTTTGAAACAAACTGTAAATTGATGGTTTGAAGCAAGATATGAGAAACCAGCGATCATGAAAATTTTAAATAAAGTAATTACTAATTTAAATGTCTAGTACAACGAACATTTTCATAAAATAATGTTTATATAAAGTTAAACGGACGTTACGGGCGAAATTTGAGGTAAAGTTTAAGGATATAAAACATGAATTAGTTCAATAATTCAATATCGATCGAAATCCTCAGCAATTTCTTATTTTTTATAAAGCTGGGTCAGCACCCCCATCTGAGTAGGAAACAACGGTTTTATCGTTGGGCAATAATAGAAGTATAAATATTTTGATGCATCTAGAAAGATCTACATAATAGTTGTTGAATACAGTCCGAGCTTTCGGCCCCTGGGCCTTCTTCGGGGAATATGAACAAAAAGTAAAAAAACAAACTCCTAGGATGCTTGACGTATGAATCCTATCGTTGGGCAATAGACGTTGTCTTCATATCTAAGAACAATGAAAGTAAAAAAAAAACACATCAGCCATTTACTTTACATTATATTACATGCGAAAACATATAAATTGTTCAAAGTTGCAAAGACGTTTTTATTATTGACTTTTGATTTTTTATTTGTACCTTTGATATTCCATTATCCATGACCCCCATACACTGAGAAATAATTAGTTGTGATATTTTTAAAATACCCATTAGTGTTGGATAACAGTCATCACCTCGTCACTAAAGCCGTTTTATCCACAGAAGAACGTCATGCGATACACTGTAATGTACTGCGTACTGTCCCTTTTCGGGCAAAGCACGAGGCAAAAACACCCAGAATGAGTCATTGCTACTTTTGCTCAGTTTTAGTTACATTGCTTCAGAAACATCAAGGATACAGAACAAGTTAGTACGTTATCGGGGGATAGGGTAGCTAGATAACTAAGTAAAGCATTCCCAGCCTCGTCTGACTGGCGCTAAGAGCAGTTGTCTCTCCTGTCTAGTCTGACGTTATCACTGCGGGGGCCAATACGAACAATTAACGGTACAAGATGCGATACGTATATTATGTATACATGGCCTTGGCAGCTTGGTTAATTGTACACGGTTCTTAGGTCCGTAGCCAAAACTTGAACATTGAAGGTTGAAACTTTGACTGCCCGACCGCACCCCTGGTTTGAGGCATAAACTTCAATATTAATCTGAAAAATTGTGACACTAGGCAAGTGCCTAATTTGACCTAGCTTCCACAACTTTTTTATATTAAATTATGGGAACTTTGGATGTGGAAATTTACAACGTTCCGTAATAAGACAAATAGTTTAATTTATGTGAAGATTTAGTTAATTATTACCTTTGACTTATTACACTGGTTTTGAGACAAAAGAAAACCTTCACTGAACTTACAGATATATTTATCAAATTTCCAGCAAATGTCAAACTTCAAACGGATCCTATAGACTTTGCCTCGGTACGTTTTAAAAAGATTCCTAAATTGATTTTAATCGATTGATTCTAATTGTGCTGTGTGACATTGCATATTTCAAAGTATGGCTCCTTTCAAACCATAAATTCTTCGGAACCAAGCCACAGGGGCTTGCACGTCCATAAATGCTGTACAGGACTATCTTTTCAGTGTTCCCAAACTAAGGAAACGTTTTCATTCCATCCTTGAATATTTTCGAAATAATGTATGCATTTATTTGAAAGAAATTATACTACACAATCAAAGACAGAGACAGCTTTCACACACCCATTCACACAATGGAAAACATAATAAATGCAAGCTATATCAAATGGGAGATTCACATTTAAATTCCAAGCGCTATAGACAATCATTTGTCAGCTTCTGTTCCGGTAGATCTTTGTGTTACATGTACCTCATGTCAAAAAGAACCTTAGTACATGAGAAAATTATAACAATATTATCATCTTCCACTTCATATCAAGACTTTCTACCCTTTCCGCTTTTCTAGACAGCTGCTTTTTGAAGACCGGGTAGGTACAAGAACTAGAAATTAATTTTTTTTATTTTCCAAGTAGTTTGCAGGTATTCCAAGTTTTATTTTGTCTGCCTAGAGTAAGATATTTCTAAATATGAAGAAGTAATAAACAGTCTGCGACGTTAGCCAATGGTCCGCCACCATTGACCAGTGCAATTTCGTGCCGACCAATGGATTGTTCAGGTGTGAATTTACAAGGCCAGTAGATTTTAATTTCATCAAATCATTTAAAAAAAAAAAAAAAAAAAAAAATTACATAATTTTTCTAAAACATGTAAAAAAATGACACCAATGTATATTCCCACTACTACACGTTTGACCCACCACTGCTGAACCGGTTCAGGCCGGCCAAGAATCCACTCAGCTGAGCGACTGCCTAAATGAACACGATTGAAAATAACCATTCATCATAATGTTAACTGAAAATTGTGTTATTTTATACTTGGTTTAGTTATTCAATAGCAATTAACGTATTGAAGGTGTTAAGCTTATATGTTTTTAACAATTTAGTTTAACTAAAATTACAGGGACTTATAGATCAACAGCTCTGCATTACCCACTTCCACTTCATATTGTGTCACTTATTTTGGGGAGAGACAGAAAAAGGAGTCATCTTTCATGAGATATGGCCATTTTAATTGGTAAAAATGGTTTAATCTGTCAATTTTGTGTGTCTCCATCTTAACATTGCAGTGTAGTATATATTTCTGAAGGACATGGGAGGGTTGAACACATGTCAGTACTCGCCCTTGCAGAAAAGATACATGTTGTTGACCAATTTACACAACAGGGCAGATGTCGTTTTGGTCTCCACTCAGCTGCCATAAAACGACACAACTTTTTAATTTGATTATTACAGATTTTCGCAATTCATTATGCGAGTTGGACCATTGTATTTTTGTGTATTTATAATCTTTGATATTTCAGTTGGTAATTTATGTAATAAGGATTTAATTAAAATTTTCAAATATTTATACAATAAACAACTAAGATAAATATAAATAACTATGATATAATTAAAGCATTACATGACTTTCTTTTGTATTTTAATGAAAAGATGAGGATTTATAAATGTTTAAAAAATGAATTAATAAAACAATAGATATGTATTTTGTAGCTATCAATATTCTATGTGTGAATATTGAAGAATTTAATATGCGTATAGTATGAATAATAATTTTTTTTATTTATTAAAATTCCTTTCTTTTCATTTTCATCATCAGTTAATTACTAGTATATACATGTATTTATACTCTATTCCATTTTTTTATCGTCTAAGGAATGAAATTTTGGATTTTCCTAGGGTACAATTAATCTGCCCAGTACAATTATTAATTTCGAGAGAATTTTTCAGGCAGTACAATTATTTTGCCAGTACAATTATTTATTTCTAGAAAATTTTCCAGGCGGTACAATTACTCCGCCAAAACAATTATCATGAACCCAAAAGTTTCGGAAGATATTTTCAATTTGATTGTTTTTTTTTGTAAGATGTGTAAATCTTACATGATGATTCCAAATATAAAAAGATTTGACAAATCGAGGTCTTCTTATTATTGGTATTGATGCAATAGGAACAATTGAATTGAAATGAAGTTAAGTCTGACTGAATTTTTTTAGAACCAGTGTCTTTTAATTCGGATCAGTAATTTTAAGAACCCCCATATGACTGCCTTAGCTGCTCGAGGAGGCCTGTCAGACAATAAAGCAGATTCCGCTGATTGCACTTAACGAGATCTAATAAGTAAGTTAGCAGGATATAAATGCATCCGTTGATTTGCCGATGGGGACAATAATGAGTTAAAATACCAAAATGAAAATTTGAGACATATTGGCTCGAAGTGTAGACATTAGACTATAATGTGATCATATAACGCCCATGCCCGAAGTTACGCTGAGTGAAACAAAATTGAAATAATTACCAATTTTGCAACATATTAACCATTATCCAGAGGTTACACTTCTGGTGCCATGATGCTATTGTTGATCTTTCACGGGACCCGGACGTCGTTAATGTAGAAAATACCAAAACGACTTTTCTAACCGCTGCCCGGAACAGTTGCACGCAGCAGGAATGACGGGAAAATGGACCGGGAACAACCGACACTGAACTTTGTGGTTGATTAAAGTTGACAGGCAGAAGAACGTTGTACGGAAAGAGAGATGCAGCACATATCTAATCAAAATACCGAAACAGCAAGTATGGATTCCAGGTGAAATCATTCTTCAAAAAGTACGTGAGGTGGTTGATGATTGCTATAGTATGCTTTTAAAATGATTCCGCTGTGGCTAGTAATTCATATGAATCCTGATTGCGTTCAATATCCCTGTTGAAGCATCCTCATCCTCTCGACTGATGTAAGATAAAAAGGCATTGTCCAAAGCCCTTTCTAAAAAAGGACTAGGTGAATAAAATATAAATAGATAAGTCAATAATGATAATGTAAATCCAAAAAATAAAGAAAAAGTTTAAC